CACCCATTCTAGATCCGCAGTACTGTAGGATAATGAATATTCATAATGATGAATTTGAGGCAATGCTAAATCTGGAGTCATTAAAAAAATATATAGTTATAAATATTATGTGTACATGACTCATTCAATTGTCTGTAAAGTAACAATCCATGTATTATGTATATCATAACACTCAGTTAAGCAGAACATCATATTCTTCAGTCATTTGGGATAAATTTGAGCGTAGTAAGAGTAATATTGCTTTATTTTTATTGAACCTATCACAAGGGAAAGGTAAAATCCTAAATAAGTTTACAAAAGGCACCAATTTATTGGCTCCAATTTTTTGTAGTTCTATAGATATATTTTTTATTTTCCCCAAAACTCGGGAGGGGGGGAAGGAAAGGTAAATAAAGCACTAAATTAATCCTCCCCTACAGGGAATCTTGCTATCATATCCTACTCATGACTACTATTACATTACACAACACTGTGTGCCATGGTCCCATGGACCGTAAATACCTAGGTCAAATTTTAAAGATTTGTTCAAAATAATATATTAGTTCTTCTGAGTATTTATCTACGTTTTCCTTATCTGGAAAAATTTCATTTAAAAAAATCATGGTAAAACAGAAACTTACAGAGGCCTAAAACACAGAAATAGGTATGTTCTGCTATTTCCATTCAACTTAGTCAGATTTTCATTCTATTGCTATTTAGCAATCCTTTTTTGTTTGACTCTCTATTTCATTTTCCACAGCACCTATTTCAAACCTTTTCCTCTTTTAAGTCCCCTTTGATTTATAGTAAGCTTCCTAATTCACTGAGAAGACTGAAGCCATCTGACAAGCCCCAAACTTCCAACTTTCAGTCCTCAAATTTCACCTGTACACTCATAAATCACTCATTTTGCCTTTCTCCTCTCTTGGGTCTCTGAGAAACACATATCCCTAATTAATCCCTCTACCTTTACCTTCTTTCTTGCCTCATCTAGGAACTTCCTCCAGCAATCATCTTTTCTTTCTCACGCATATACAATCTCTCAATCTACACAAGATCGTACCTAACAAATATGTTCAAGTTTCCTCAAACCTAAAAAGATTTCACCTTGACTTTTCTATTCAATATTGCTAATATGCCATTCTCTTATTGAAAAAGCAATCTCTTAACAGATCCACTTCTATAAATCAAAATAACATTTTAGAGAGCATGAGACTTGGAATCAGGAAACCTGGATTCATATCACAACTTGGTCACTTATTAACTGTGATGCTTGGGGCAAATCAGTTTCCTCATCAAAAAGATATGGATAACACTACCTGGCATACCTACCTTCTTGGCTGAAATAATCAAAACAGAATGTATGTGAAAGCAATTTATATATACAGCACTATCACTATTACACTCAGAAGGTTTAATTACATAAACTGAGAATCATTAACATGTTATTCATGTTACCTTTACTTTTCCTCATATGTCTTTGAGTGATTTCTACTTAAATTTCTACTTTCTCAATTATTATTGCTATTTCTACTTTTTTTTGAACACATTATTGGAAAATTTTACACCAACCTGTTTTTAAATCAAACGTTATCTTTTTACATTAAATAGGTTCACTATGAACAATATATAAATGGGGTTTATATACAGAAGCATACCATAAGAGAATTAAGACCATTTACATTTACTGTTTTAAGTAATTTTGATATACCTACTAAAAAAGAAATGAATTTTAAATTTGACTTGGTGAAACTTATTATTAAAATCTATTTCAGACGAACTAACATAACAAAGTATTTAGGTAGAGAAAAAAGGAGTTTGTTGGTTTATTGAGAAATATGTAAATAAGGATGTGCATATTTTTTAAAGCACCAAGTTCTCACTCAACACCTACATGTAATTTTAAGAGACTATAAACTCCTTAATAATAGCGAATGCTAGCTTCTTTTCTTTGTATATTTAGCACAGTGCCTGGAACAGAGCATGTGCTTAATAAGAGCTTGCTGACTGATAATTTTTAAAAACCTATTTATAGCCAAACCTCTGAGACTTCCTGGATTTTAAATTAATAATTTAGATATTAAATGGCTAATTTATATTTTGAATAATTTAGGTATGAAATAAATGATTCAGTTAAAAGTTTTGAATATTTTTTCTGGGCATTTTCTAAGTCTTTCTCATAAAAGAAAATTACCTTACAGCAATAACTTTTTTAAACCACACTATCTTTGATTTCCAGATCTGGCCACAATAAATCTTGTTTAACTCAATCAATCCAACAATCAACATTTATTAAATACCAGTCAATTCTCAAAAAAGAGAAAAGAACACAGTCTGCAAACTATAGGCCAATGAGCTTGACTGACTCCTGAGAATATCTTAGTATGGATTATCAAAGAGATGGTTGATGAACATTTAGAAAGGAATGCTTAAATCCAAAGAGCCAGCAGGGATTCATCAAGAACAGGTCATACCAGACTAAACTCATTTCCGGCTATGAAAATACTACTAAATTAGTAGATGAGAGGAGTGCAGTGAATATAGTTTACCTAGATTTTTTATAAAACATATAATACTATTGTCTGAGAAGAAGACATATATATACTGATTAAACAATAAACTGATGGATTCAGAATTGGTTGTATGGACAGATTCAAAGAGTAATTGTTAACACTTCAAAAGCAACAGGGCAGGAAGTCTCCAGTGAAATATCCCAGGGATCTGAGCCCTTTGCTACCTAACATTTTTATCAATGACTTAGACAATGGCATAGATAGTATTATTCATAAAATCTAAAAATAAGACAAAGTTTGGAGGGATAGTGAACACAGGATGCAATAAAAGATCAAAAAAATCTTGACAGGCTAGAACATCGGGCTGAATCTTATTAGATCAATCATTGTCAGGATCACATAAGACCTGAAAGCTTTTACTATAGATAAGAGATCTCAGAATACAACGTTCTAAAAGGCAAAAAATATAGTTTTACTACCAACTTGCCTGCAAAAAGCTGAGTATAGTCTTATAGGGACAAAAATAGACCTTTAATGGAATAGAGAACTTTCAAGATTTCCTGATGAAAAGACCAGAGCTGAGTTGGACCTCGAAATACAAACACAAGGGTCAAGTAAAAACTAGAAAGGTAAACTTATTTGAGCAATTGGAAAGGGCTGTACAATGATGAAGGATTAATATTCTAACAGGGAGAAAATAAGTTAAGTATCCCTTTAAAAATGTAATATCTTCAAAAGATAGACAGGGTTTTAAATAAGAAAAAAACAATAAGAGTGGGGGTGAGGTGGAGATTAGTTTTGTTCTGATGCTTTTAAAAGGGAAAAGGGAAGGAAGAATAAAAGGAATACACTAATATGGAAAGGAAGAAGGAGCAGTGGAAATTACTTTTCCTCATAACAAACACGGAAGAAGAGTTGGGGTGATGGGCATCAAATGACCCTCTCCCCATCTGAATTAGACAATGTAAGTTTGAATCACCTACATAGAATTTGGAACAGAAATAAATTAAACAACAGGAAAATCTGCAAAAGTGGGGGGGTAGTATAAAGAAGAATACTGGGAATGAATAGTCACAAGCAAAACAAATGTCCTAATCCTCAAGTACGGGATGGTACTTAAAAGGAAAAAATGGGAGGGGGGAGAAATAAGACAACTGGAAATGGGGGAGATGGCTAAATTGTGGTGTATAAATGTAAGGGAATATTATTGTGCCTTAAGAAATATGTGCCTTAAGTGACTTCAAAGAATCCTGGGAGGTACAAACTGATACTGAGTGAAGTAAGCACACCAGGAGAACAATCTATACAAGGCCAATAAAACTGAATAACACTTAAGAATTTTCATCGAAGCAACTACCATCCCTATCTCCAGAGTACCTAGAATGACTAACAAGTGAGGGACTTAAAGTGACCTTTTTTGGACACAGTTGCCATTTTGTTTGACTATGCTCATAACTTCACTGTTTCTTTGTTACAAAGATTTGAGGTTTTTTTTCCTCCTGTTTTTAACTGGGAAGGGCTTTGAAATTGGGGAAGTATTACTCATGCCATTAAAAAAAAAAAGAAGCAAATTGGGCATTACCATATTTTTTAAAGTGTGCAGAAAACAGAAGTAGACACAGACAATTTTGAAAGTAAGGAAAGAGAAGACTAGCCACTTTTGAAAGTAACATTTAATTACACACACACACTCTTCTATTTGTGTTCTACTTCATATATGAAAATCTTGTTTTGGAGTACTTGTGTTGTGAATAAAAAAAATAAAGTTTAATAGTTTTAAATTATACCAAGACTTTTTGGACACTCTATTGTGAACTTGTTCACTCCCCCTGGTGGATCACAAATTCCATGAGGACAGATACGTTTCCTTTTTGTCTTTGTAACTATTCTCAGTGTACAGCCAACAGTCTCTAGCTCAGAGCAGGTGCTCAATAAATACTTGACTGATTCCTACCGGCGAGGCTTAGCACCTGTAGTACAACAGTCCACTCCTCACAGTCCTCAACCCACCTTCCCTAAAAACCCACCTCAACTTCCAAAAAATACTCCTTCAGGATTTTTAAAGTACTAAATAACCACACCCACATATTTTATGTTGAAATTTATATTTATGTTCAAATACCAATAGTCAAAGAAAATAAAAGTAACTAATAGCAGTTAAAAAAGAAAGTCAAGCATTCTGTCCAAATAACTCAATTTTACTGTTACATAATGGTTATCATGACAACCCTATACCAACCATTCTTTTTGAATGTTTCATGAGGTTTATATGTTTTTTCTTGCTTTTTTTCTTCTTTTGGGGTTTTATTTTTTGTTATTATATGTTCATTAAAATATCAATATTCCCTTCAACATATGCATTATAAATAATTACTATCCAAGAATAATTACCATCCAAGAACATAAGACATTAAAGACCACCTCCACAAGTATAGAGCCACAGCTCTTATTTCTATATATTTTCAACTTTATTATTAGTTTCTGTCTATTACTTCTATTTTAATTTACCTGAGCTAGGGTTGGAATAGAATTTTGACCAGTCTGAGTCTGCACATGAGTAGAATCACTGTCTGTTACAGAATCTATTATACTTCCATCCTGCTGAGATTCAACCGTTTCCATGGTCATTTGTCTAAAAAGAAAACAAAAAAATGAAAACTATTAGGCATCTATCTCAAGAATCACTATTTATGTTTGACTCTGACATAATTTCATTTTTAGAATTTTTTTTACTTTCAAAGTGAATGCTTCGTCCTACAGAATGTAACATACAGCACAAATTCTCAATCTCTAAATTCCAGGCAAGTTATTCTATTGACATTGCCCAAAGAATGCAGATTTAAAAAAACATTGTTCTCTTATGATCACCTATAGCTGAATGATTTAAATTTTTGGCTTATTCCTTAATTATCTATAATAAAACTTCCATCAAAAGTTTTCAAAAGGTAGATGGGAAAGTCCTTTGTAATCATAAAGCTGATACTGGCATGGAAAGATAACATCATATATTTGGAACTTGAAGGGACATAATGATATATAGCCCAACTCTCCTCACTTTACAGATGAAGAAATTAAAGCTATCGCTATTCTATGAAAATAATCTTTTCATCATTTATTCAAACTGCATATGTCTATAACATAGTATTATAACAAGAGTAATTTAACTTTTAGTCATGCAGTTAATGATAAATAAATCTACTGTGTAATTTTATCCATGTGAAGCTGAAGCCATGTAAGAGAGGTTTAGTCATTTCTAAGAAACTGATCTATTTTTATAGGGATATTTTAAAAATATTTTCAGTTTCCTTTCAAATTTAATTTAAATAAATAAGTTATCACCCTGAATTTTTATCTAGAAGACTAAGTAATCCTGTGATAATTCTACTTTAAAACTAAAAAGTGAAAATATGAAATCTTTTAAATGGTATGCTCACTAAATGAAATATGTAACAATTCATTTTTAAAATGACCATTTTAAATTTATCTTCCTGATCTTTTACCCCCTTTCCCATTTATTACTACCACAATAATATATTTTTCACCAAAATAGTCTAAAAAGAGATATAAAATTTAAGTGGATCATTCACAACTTTGATTGAAATAAAAATTATCTTAAATAGTCATCCTCCAACAATGCTTCTCAGACTAGCCATTTCTTTTCCATATCTGTCAACACCTGACTTCCAAGTTTTCTAACCTCATCACATCTGCTTCCTATTTATTAATCTGCCCATATTCCATTTTCTAGTACATCCTAAACATAGCTGCTGAAACAATTATTTCTCAAAAGAAAAGTGATCATATCACTTTCATAATAACTTTCAATAACCTCCTACCATTATTTACTACTCTAAATTAAACATTCTTAGTTTACTGCTCCTTATACAGAAAACACCTAATCACATTCATTTTCCAGGCTCACACTTTGTTATTCCTCATTCTGGCCCCTTTACTTCTAGGCCAAACCAATCTATTTGCCTCTCACCATCCAATATGGATTTATAATTCTTACCTTTTTGCCTTTAATCATACTAATTCTTCTACCTCAAGTGTTCTGCTTTCTTCAAACAAGCAGCGCTGTTCTTTAAGACCCAGCTCAAAACTCCTCTCTTTTGAAGAAGCCCCTTCTGATCACTACATGACTAAACTATTCTATATACGTTTTATATACTATATACACTTTACCTATCTGGAACTTAAATATGGCAAATTTACCTATCCAAAACTCAGATGAAAACTAAGAGAAAAAAAAGGCCTTCTAACCACTAGAATCAGATATAAGGAAGTTCATGCACTACAGGCACCCACCGGGCTTGGGCTCAGAGCCTATTTACTCTTACATCAATCATTATTCAAAAAACCTTGATTATCTTGTTTCCAAGCCCACAGCCAATTCAAAACTAGGAAAGGCTATTTGCTCTACAGGCAGATACAATGTCAGTTGCAAAGAGTAAGACCTACAAGAATGAAAGAGACAGAAAAACTATAAAAAACAGATAAAACTAACAAAACCACAGCAGGCTAGAAGTATTTATGGCATCAATATAGCAACAATCCTTAAGGGCATTTTATATTACAGAAGATTACAGTAAAAATGACCCTGAATCATCTAGAAAGGTTCATGGCACTATTTATAAGAAAGCAGAAGAGAGTTTAATATGAATACAATTTCTATCTCTCTGATCCAGCTACTCAGCCCAACTGAGACTATTTGCCACATGCTCCATTTGTGTGTGTGTGTGTGTGTGTGTGTGTGTGTGTGTGTGTGTGTGTGTGTGGACAGTGCTTTACACAAAGTACTTCAATAAATTATCTGCTGAGTGAATGAATACACAGTTTATGTTTATTTCTAACATAGTTAAAGACTGAAGAGAGCAAATAACTTCTATTTGTCTGTCATTCTAACTTTAACTTTTTCAAAGTAAAACTTTTTAAAAAACCAGATAAACATAAATTTACCTACCTTCTACTTGTCTTAGTATATTTTTTCCTGCCACATTTGCTCATTATTAAGACATTTGTAAACAATGCTTTGCTCCTTCCCAGCTTTCTTCTTCTATTTATCCTGCAGTAAAATTATACTTTTGAATTTGGGATATTACAAATTTTCCATCAAAACAAATTTAAGACTTTGTTGTCAAAATAAGAGCAGGAAGGAGATAATTCTAATTTTCATACAATTAAAATGACATAAGATAAAAGCAGCAAGGTAAAAATTCTAATTATTCAATCTGCTTTTTAAAAACTTAATTTTCTGTTTTATGTGTCACAATGAAGTTTTTACCATATCAATGGACTTCTAAAATTACAGAATAAAGCTTAAAAGTTACTGTCTGAAATATAAAAAGTGTGATATTCATTGTCCTCAGTTCTATTCTTAGTTGTCCCTTATCAATATCAAATATATGTATTAACAACACCTTAGTCCAAGAGCCAACAATACTTGATTAAAATTCTATGAAGCTCCAATTTTGCTGACAATGGAACCCCACTCAACTTCCAAGTCTCATCTATACTTACTATCTCTCTCACACTCTGCCTAGTAGTGCTCCACACACATTATATATTTTGTGAAAGGTTTAAAGACATCTTTCAACCTAAAGGAAGGTTGTTTTAACCAATTTAGTTATAAAACAAAATGCCATTAATCCCAAATTTCTAAAGGACTGCCTTTTAAAATTACATGTGGACATCTTTATATGTACAAGTGCATGACTAGGACAACAAATTCAGGAAAAGAGAATCGGCACTTGGACATGCAAGCCTACCTGGGGATGTCTTATTAATTCTAATGCTAAAGGACAGAATTGTTTTTGCCTGTGAAATCAGTGGGAAAACAGCTGAGAACCAATATTACCTTCATTAGTTCCCCTTTTCTTACTGCCAAATTGCTAATGTCATACCACCAAGATGTTCATGTTCACCAACAATGAAACTGGCAAAATTTATCTATCTTTAAGGCTGACAAAGGAATGATGGATGCAGTCACACCATGCTGTAGTGAGAATAATAGGTGATGATGACACTGCCACCCATTATTAAACAGGGATGCTAACTATCACAGAATAAGAAAAGGAAATACCTTTGGACTACTCATTTTGACAATTAATGGTGCTTTCTTACGTCACTATTTGATGGTTTTTGTCCTTCCCAAAATAATTATAAGCTTCCTGAGGACAAGGGCTGTCTTACACAGTTGTCCTATGTGCTTACTATGTGCCAGGTACTGTGTTAAGCCCTAGGGATACAAACACAAATACAAACATAGTCCCTGCCCTTGGGAAAAGACACAAAAAGTTTCTTATCAACCAACTGTGCTAAGCACTTGTCAGTCAAATTAACACATAAGGTGCTATCTTTGAGTCAACTACAACCACAGGGGTTAACAGATGATAACAGAAACCTCAAGGAAAAGAGAGACCAGCTTCCCCCCAAAGTTATTCTCAAAATCCTCCCTTGGAGGAAAAAAAGTGTTTCCCTGGTGAAATGTAGTTATTTTGATGCTCAACATTTTTCTCAGCTTTTATTTAACTTTTACACTAAGTCTGATCCTAAAGAATCCAGGTAGAAATTCAACTCACCACCAGTATGTAAATCCATTTTCTTTGGCACAACAGCTAATTTTTCATTACAATTATATATAAGCAATATTCTTTTTTATTTTGGAGGCAATTGGGGTAAAGTGACTTGCCCCAGGAAGTATCTGAGGCCACATTTGAAATCAGGTCCTTCTGACTCCAGCACTGGTGTTCTATCCACTGCACCACTTAGCTGTCCCTTTAAGTAATATTCTTTAAACAAAGATTTGCTTTTAAACAATGTCTAACCTAGGGAACAGATATTAATTTTGCACTTAAAAAATACTTAGTCTATTCTTTCATTGCAGGCATCAAACAACTATTACTACAGCTACTTTAGAGAGAGACACAGTGATATTTAGATGGTAATATATCTCTATCATATATCTCTTTTAATGTTGTCTACAGGGGAAAAAAGTGATACTTCTATATAGAACTCTACCCTTCAAAGTAAATAAAACATACACATCTTTTCTATACACTAGGGAATTACCTATTATTCAAAATACTCATGAAAAATAAACCAGTATGATTATACAAACCATATTCCCTGTTCTACACTGAAACCTTAGTTCTGAAGAAGACTCTAAACATTGATGAAGTTCTACAGGATAAAAATATTTTTATCTATGTTCATTGTTTCAACATAAAGTCATTTCTGGAAACTAATATATTTCATTTTTGAAAAGTAATTTATAGCATTCCAATCATCCCCTAATATAGGTTGCACCCGACAAATGAGATCTCTTTAAAAAGAAAAAAATTGAGTATAGGCTGCATTAAGGTAAATGTTCCAGAAATGAAGGAGAAAAAAAAAATACATACTCTATCATTTCTCTGGTCATTTGTAAATTACTTCAAGTCCTAAATTTAAGTAGTTTCATTATGTGTAATGATGAATAGTTCTATTTCAAAAGATCCAGGGTTCCTACCCTTTTTCTGGTCCCATAGTCCTCAATGCCTTCCAAGTTTACCATTGCACACGTGAAAAACAAAGTAAAAGATTAATTTTTCAGAAATAAAAACTATTCCCTTGATAAGTTTTTTATACCCCAGTTTGGGAACCCCTCATCTAGACAAACAGTCAAGAACAATTTAAAACATAAAATGACCACAATTCATAAAGTTTTTTTCTGAAATATGGATATACAATTTGGATGCTTTCATTGAAAAACAAGGGCAGCATAGAATGGCTTCTATAATACTTACCTTAAAATATTATTTTAGAAACGATTTATCTTTGACATAAATTACATTTGTCCAAAAGACATGCTTTATGCAGAACTATAAATTTAGAGTTAGAAAGAAACCTAAAGGTAATCTCATCCAACCTCCTCACCACAGATAAAAAAACTGAGGACCAAGAGATCAGATGATTTGCCCAAGATGGGACCTGAACCTGGGAATCCAAGTCCTTGGATTCCAAATCCAGACATCTTTGCATTATATAACGCTGCCTGCCATATGAAGTTTCCTTTATTTTTAAGTGACTTTAAGACTGCCTGAAAAAAATATTCAGCTGTTTATAACTGATATAGAATACATAAAAAACTGTAAAGAATTTACAGAAAGGAAAAATGACTGACCGAATTTTAATGAACATTAGCATTTTATATAGCAGTTTAAGGTTTGCAAAATGCTTTACATGATATCTAATCTGATCTTCACAACAACCCCATGAAGTGGGTTCTATTATTACCCCCATTTTACAGATGAGCAAACTGGGGGCCAGAGAGGTTAACCCTCTTGTTCAGCCTCAGATACTTACTCACTGTCTGGCCCTGGGCAAGTCACTTAATGCTGTTTGCCTCAGTTCTTCGTCTGCAAAATGAGGGGGAGAAGGAAACAGCAAACCAGTACAGGATGTCTACCAAGAAATCCCCCCCAAAAAAGGATCACAGAGTTTGACACAACTGAAAAACAACTAAATCACAAAATCAAGGCTGAAGATAAATCTTAAATAACACTGTTCAGAGAAGACATGATTTTATTCAAATTTTCTCATTTAAGAAGTATCTTAATTTTCCTAGAAATCCCTTCTTAAATCTAAGCCATCCTCAATAATTTTAGCTTGGAATGCTCTCATAAGAAAACACACCCCTTCCTTTGAAAGTCCCTTAAGCAGGCAAAAACGTGAAAATGAAAGAATAGAAAACAGTTTTTTATCGTCTTTCATGATTGACTCTGGCACAGCTACGTCTCCAGATGATAAAAAAAAAAAGTATTTCTAAGTTTAGGGCTAAATTATGCAAACTGTCCATCCGTTTACATTGCCCAAATTCATTATACAATTCATGCTATTCATCAAGGAGGGAGGGAGAGTCTAAAGATTAACTGTCTCCTTTAATAGGAAACTACACTATTAAGTTTTATAAATGGGGAGGGTTCACTTTTTTTGTATTAGTTAGGGCATATTTTCACACCATAAAGGTGACAAAGCACAGGTAACCAAATCAAAATAGCAAAAACCAGCCCTAGCAAAGCTGTTTTTTTTTTCCTATTGCCAATGCAATACATTAAATACACAGTTTTAAGAAAACTAGAACTGGCATTTAGGAATTTGCATCATTAGGTCCTGATGATAAACTAGACAGAGGCTAGAGGAGAAAGGGTTGGAGTAAAAGGCAGAATGTATGTGTATTTTAATCTCAAATTGCATTATGACCCCTCAATTTAAATTTCTCACCTATACTTTGGACTACTTTGATGACCAGAAGAAGCTGGAAATCCAGAGTTAATAGAATTTATTGGTAACTCGTAACACTGTTGAACAGTATAGTAAGAGCAGATTAATATTACCAGTATCTTCAAGTTTTTGTTCTCTGTCACTGTTATCAGTCCCTTTAGAAAAACATAATGTACACGTATTCTTAATGACCTGTGCATTGTTCATTAAGAGCTTCTAATCCAAGATAGGCAACATTAACAATGATGACATCACAGAAAAAGATGGACACCTACAGTAAAATGAAGATATTTTTCCAGCTATAAAGATGAGGGAATTTTTTCCTCTCCCATTTTATTTTTCTATTAGTCACTGTAATCTTAGAGGGATAAAGAAAAAAAGAGTCAGAAGGGTAGATGAGGAAAACTGAAAGATAACAAAAGTGAGGAAGTGATAGGAAGTTGTTCTCATTTTCTCCTGTGTTAACATCCCAATGCCTTTCTTTTAAAAAGAATGTTCTTACAGGTTTTTGGGCTGGGGACAGAAGCACAAATAATAATTTTTAAAACTGAAGGACAGAAATAGTTCCTTTATAACATAAAAAAAAGGTATTATTAAATAATTTATCTCATCAAGAATTGTATATGATAATCACTCGTTTCTAATGCTTTAAGGCTTATAAAGCACTTTCCTCACAACTGAATGAGGTAGACAGTTTAAGTATTATCCTCATTTTATTGATGAGGAAACTGAAGCTCAAAGAAATTAAAATTGTCCATGGGCACACAGCTAATAAGTGCTTGAGCTGGGATTTGAACCCAG